GAGGTGCAAAGATGCCAAAATCAATAACCTCAGAAGAACCGTACATCGGTGGACTGCGAGGTATAATAATGATACAGAACGCTGGAGAGGGAGGCATGGTTGTGCCGTTCGTCAAGCTCAGAATTGGAAAGACCGGTATAAGGATGAAACTTTGGGACATCAAAAATGGCATGGTGTATTCCAAAGATTGGAAGGAACGATTATCGATAATAATACTAGAAAGCAGGCTCGTATTAATACATTACTATATGAGAAATTCGCTCTCCAGCTAATAAATAGAAATTCTCGGCAAATTATTTTAGCATTACAAAACAATCCTCCTAATTTACAACAATCAGGAATGGTAGGATATGGACCCCCAATATTTTATGGTCATCCTGAAGAGGATCTAGAAGATTTTCTTAGAGATTTTCAGAGATATGTAGTAGCTAGTCGAATAAATGTAGCTCCTGGAGTAGGTCAGGCCGCCAGAAGAGCAGAGGCTTTAGGTTTATTAATATCTTATCTTGAAGGATCTGCTAAGCAATGGTATGAAACTCGCATCAGAGGTAAGAATTGGAAATGTAGTAATATCTCAGATAATTTAGGTGTGGCTAATTTAACTGCAGTTAGAGCTTTGGCCACTGGAAATAATGGTAATCAAATTGGTGGTTTGAATACTGCCGGAGAATTTCAAGGTAAAGCTAGTGCAGAAATTGGTAGAATTGGTGCAGGTGTCGCAACTGGAGCTGATATTATCCCGAATGGAACATGGGATGAAGACTGGTCTATAGCAGGTGGCGAGCCTACAAATAATACGCCAGTGGCCCCAAATGCTGGTGGTGATTTACCTGCTGTTATAATAGCGCCTAAAATAATACTTGGTCAACTTTTATACTTACTCAAAACTGCTTATATAACCGTTGAACACTTAAAACAGACGGTAGTTTTTGGTCAACTCATGCAAGGTGATATGTCAGTTGAGCAGTTTTCTGCCTGAATCAAAAAGGTTGGTAAATTAGCTGAAATGACACCCGAACAGCAAAGAGAGCAATTTATTCATGGTTTAAATCTTATGAACCAGTATAATATTCGAATGATGGCTAAATTTTATGATATTCAGGATAATATTACAAAAGCTCTAGCCAAAGCGGAAAAATATACATTATTTCAAAAGAATGCATCATCTTCTATTCCAGTTTTTCCAGCATCTAACCCTTATGTAGATACTAATAAATCAGGAGGTGGGATGACTAAAAATGAAATTGAGAACTTGGTAAAAAATACAATAGCATCCTCAGAATCCCAATAGTCTCAACAAGTGGCTTCATCGCAATTTTAACCACATCCTGCAGGAACGTATAAAAATTTACGAGATGAAAATGTAAGTAGATTTTTGTCATGAATTATGAGAGAAACTCCAGAATTCGTTCCTGTCCCTAATCCTACTTTGCCACCAAAGCCAAAGAAAAAGGTTGAAGTTGATTCTGATGAAGAACTTACTGAGCTTACAAAAAACAGTTAAAGCTTTATGTAGCTAAAGCGATTAAAAAAGCTGTAAAGACACAATAGCGGTACTCTAACTGTAACCGAACTGGATATAATTCTTGCAAATGCACTCGGAAGAAGAAAAAGAGATCTAAGAAAGCTAAAGTTAATCTCACTACTTTAGTTTTAGCCTCAGATTCAGCTTCCTCTTCTGATGCCTCATCTAGTGATAGTTCTGATTCTGATTCTGATTCAAGTTCTTCCGATTCTTCTGATTCTGAAAGTGAGCTTAATGTTAATATGGCTAAGATAAAAAAAAATAAAGCAGAAGTCTAGCTCTAAGAAATCTAGTTCCAAGAAATCACCATCTAAGAAACGTTCTAAGAAAAAAAACAAGTCCCATAGTATAACACCTTTGTCTAAATCTGCTAAACTGATTAGTAAAGTAGATTCTGAAAAACTAATAAATAGATCTGGTAAGGTTAAACAAAGCACTTTGAAAGAAACTATTCGTAAAATTCTCCAAAGTGAACTTAAATTAATTTTTCCTGCATTGATTTCTTAAGACTCTATTTCCAGTTTCAATAAAACTGATATATCAAAACAAGTGCCTTCTATTCAGGAGAAGATAGAGTTTCAGATCAATAAGGTTCCAATTACCAAAGATATTTTATCAGACCTAGAGGAGGAAGAATATTTGGATGATCCTATGGAAATAGACTTTGTCCAAAGAAAAAAACCCGCCACAGATGTTATCACTGTTAAATGTAAAATTAAGCATCTAGTGATTCCAGCGGGCACAGTTGATCCTGATGCTAATTTTCTGATTATGTCTGAGGATATAGCCAAACGATCAAAGCTAGAAATTGATACAAAGGAAAAATATGATCTTAGAGGCATTGCTACTACTCCCACAGAGTCGCTTGGAATTGTTAGAAATGTCCCAGTGAATTTTGCTCCTGGATGTACTATATACGCCGATTTTGCAGTAGTTAAGTATCCTAAGCCGATGCTGATCTTACCAAATACTTTACTTGATAAATATAACTATGATTTACTTGCATCAAAGCGAGAATTGAGACTAGAGTGCAATGGTAAGGAATTTTTTATCCCAATTAATATGCATAGGGTCAAGAATAAGCTTGAGGTGAATTGCGTGAACATCACTCCTGAATGTGATGATTTATCAGCTCCAGACAAGATATCTCAGGACTCGCAGGACTTGCAAAGCGTCTTAATAGCAAGTGAGGATAATGATGCATTAAAAAAAAAGTGAGTTATGAAGAGCTTGAAAAAATGCTATATAGCACTCTTAAGTATTATTCAGAAATTAATGAGTATTGTGAAAGATTACAGACACGCTATGATGAACTTCTTGCTAAAGGCTAGTAGAAGAATAGGCAAGTTATTTTTCTAATATACTCTTCATATTCGCTATATTTTTTAGGTTTCTTTTAACTATCTTCTCATGCGAAGTGGAAATTGGTTGAGACTGAATAGGGGATAGAATTAGCGGTGGTAATCCACCTTTGGACTTCGATTTCTTCCCTCCAGTCTTTTTTGTCTTCTCACCTTCTTATAAACTAAATCAATAGATTCACTAGGCTTTATCCCACGTATTTGTTTTGTTAGCTTTGCTAATGGAACATCTTGGCCTTGGATCTCTGGTTCAGTCCGCCTGTTCACAATATTTATATTAGAAAGTGAAGCAGGTCTCTTATGAGACCATCAGCTGTTGACATATGAATTGGTTGATTTCACGCAACCCTATTTTTTCTTCACCTTTTCAGATCTGATAAATAAGTTTTTGTGATATGTGATATTTATCTGTTAAATCCTTTAAAACTTTATCTCTAGACTTTTTTTCAGCATATTGTATAATATGGTCATAATCAGCTGGTGAAAAAGAAGGAGCATCACATCTCATTCGTAGTCTGAGCATGATAGCAATATTTTTTATATCTAATATAATACTCTGAAATAATTTATTAAATAGGATATATAGAAAGTATGTATTATTCTGAAAATATAAGACATACAGGATATATAGGAAGATAATATTCTGGACATATAGGATATACAGGATAAATAGAAAATGTAGAAAGTATGTATTATTCTGAAAATATAGGACATATAGGATATATAGGTATAGGAAGATAATATTTCGCTGACGTATAAGATATATAGAATAAATAGGATATATAGAAAGAATGTATTATTTTAAATAAACAGATTATGTCTATTATCTCAGAAATTTATTCGTGCATTTTTTTTCCTGCTATATAACTATGCCAAGATTATGTATGTCTAATGTTTATACATTGAAGGATATAAAAGATAGAGGACATCGACTGGGTAGTACATATGAGCAAGAGCTCGAAAAAAAAATAAGATCCATTACCGAATTTAATTCTGAAATTAATAATCTTAGTGAAAAACTGGTAGATAAATACAATGAGCAAGAAAAGGAGTTCCAGCGAACCTATACTGATATTGGAAATAATATTAGCCAGTTAAATATGTCTAGCGCTAAAGTTAGATTCCAACTTATTTCTAAACAGAAGTCTCATTCTGAAAGTCAACGCGAGCTTGAAGCTGAAATAAAATCGCTTAAATCTTCTATTAAAACACTAAAAAGAGAGCTAGCTTTAGCTCAGAAAGCTTCGTCCGCTGACAAGATCAAGATTCTCTCTCTTGAAGCTAAAGTATGAGAATTGGAAGGTAAGTTGGATGACTTGGAACTAGAACAGGTGTTTCATGATTCAGATGTAATGGGAGGAGTGAAAGAAGAGCCAGCCCAAATAAACTTATCTGATTCTAAAGAGATCGATTTTCTCAGACTTGCATTAGAATGAGCGAATGAGGACCTTAGTTCAAAAAAATATGAAATAGAATGTATAGAAAAAGGGATAGAGTCATCAGATAGTATATATAAACGAGAAATAAATATTCAGTCTTCAGAGCGATTAAAATTGATAGATAAAAATAGATTGCTACACAACCAGTTAGCATTAAAGAAAGAGCTGAGAGGCACTTCGCATAATGAAATAGCAGATCTCTCTAAGCCCCACCTCCACCTATGAACGATTTATCGCAAAAGCTACTAAGTTAGGTCAGTGATGATTTATGACCCCTCGTCTATGAGTGTGGTCTTGAAGATAAAGTTATAGAACTTAATAAAAGTTTTACCAGAGAAAATATATTAGAGGCTTTGCAAGAGCTATTACCTCAGGATGAGGTGAGAAGCCAGACAGATACCCTACCTAATCAATCTGTTCATAGTCAACCAGCACATTCTGAAAAGTATATTTTGAGGGAAGGAGTTGCGAAGCAATTGGGTGGTGCAGAAGTAGTATCATCACCTCAAGTAATGCCTCTAATACCAGTGATTGTTCCTACCGTTAGGAGTTCTCTAATGTCGCTGATGGTATTATATTCCATACTTGCTTTTCTACTGATTGTGGTTATATAGTTCATGTTCAGGAAATGGTGGAATTCACGAAAAAAGTAATCAATATTCTACCCTTTTTTTTTCACTAGATTCGAAAAAAGAAGCTAGGCTTTCTCCTGCAAAAGCCTTTCTCAATCACAGATTTCGGGATAATCTTCCACAGTCTTTGGACAAGAGAGGGGTGTGGGATGTAAGCTATTACGAATCAATCTCACCAGGACCATCTATTTCAGATTACATGCTTGCGTAATGTAGTAGTAGTATGTTAAAATATATCACTTTATTAGAACTTAATAAAAATTACATATATGAAATCTCTATTCTATGAATTTTTTGGGGTTGAAACTGTTACTACCATTTCACTAGAACTATGTTCACTATCCCCAAAATCAGAACTATATAATATTTTGTGAATTGTACATGCGACGGCCGTTCTCAGAGTTATTAACATATGTATAAGCGGATATACAGCACTTGAAGAAGTCATATGCAATGGAATTGTTGCTTCTTCTATTAAGCAGTACTTATAAATACCTGATTCTTTTCGCATAGCATAAAGTTCTATAGCATAATCTGCCATTTTATATAAAGTAAATATGGTTAAATATCATTGTTGGTAAAAACGTGAAATAAATTGATATATACCAGCGACGTTAATGGTAAATATACTCAAATTCTGTCTCTTAGATGATTGATTGAATATTCTTTTAAGCTTCGATACATTTCTTGTAGTATCAATAGAGTCTTTAGAAAATCGAACCAACTTTATGTGATCTCGTTATCATTTGTCTTGAGTGGAGTTTGGTCTACCAGTTTCTAGATATACAATTTCAAGCTTTACGCTCTTTTCTAGTTATACTATAATCATACAGTCAGACTTTCATGCAAATTTACGAGAACCTTTCTGTATGGCGCTAGCTGAGCTCCCTTCCTCACCCCTATTGAAAAATATAATCATTATACTATGATACAAAGTAAAACTTTGAATTTAAGCTAATTTTGATTTAACTTATCATATATCTCATACATATGAAATTCCCAGGTAAATCACTCAACACTATATTTATTAGAGACGCAAGTACTTCGCAAACATATGATCCTTCATTAACCAGTTTTTCTTTCTTCAAATAGGCTTTGTACTTGGGTGATTTCCAGACTTTAAGTTTAAAGAATTATTGATTGTTAGAAATTTGATCATCTCTTATGAAAAAAATAAAGAACTTACAATTCTTCTAGTATTTGTCTAGACATTATCTGAAGTATCTCAGGCTTATCTAGCCATCTCCCATATTCAACATTACTCAAATCATCATTCACATTAGTCTTTGATTTTTCGTTATGGATGAACTCTTTACAAGCATCCATTATGATATCGTTCTGATTTAACCTATATTTTTGGAAAGATTCCTTAAAAATATCACAAAATGATCCAGGCATCTTCGTAAAAGGTTCAGATCTAATATCGAAGACCGCAGAACATATTGGATGGTCAAATCCAAGGCATTTAACATTTACTTGTTCTAATTTCATTTCGATTCTTTCCCACATAGTTTTCTCATAATCAGTGCTCTCATTTATAAGCTGACTAACATCACGTTTTAAAAAATGCAAATTTGCGTTTGCATCATCAGGCCAAGTCTCTGCATCAATCACCAGAGCTTTCATTTCTGTAAGAGAACATAAATCTTCGAAGGCATTTGCAACCTAAATATAATTAACTTAGCTTAAACTTAACATATTTTGTTAATTAAAGTGAAATAATAATTCGCGGGATAAGATTAGGTTTTCATTTTCATAAACTATCAAAAATCCTGGCAATACGCTTAATAACTAATATTTAGACACATATAACTAGCTACTGCCATACGGGAAGTGATAATATCACAACAGATATAACCTATTCACTAGCATATAAGCCCTTTAGAAAACCTAAAAAAATACATCATATCCACACATTTGCTATGATTATTTTTTTTTCTGCCTACCCATTTCGCCAGTTTTTTTCCAATGCCAAAGTTTTGAAGCTTCTTTCTTCGTTCAACGTCTTTCGAAGGGACTTGTTCTAAAACTCTTTTCAGAACATTTTCAAAGTTTTCTACCTTCTTTTCGAGAACATCTGTCCATTCACCTTGCTCCACTCGTACGAATAATGCTGTGGAAATCCTAACAATGCTAAAAAGCTCTCTCGTTAAAAAAAATTCTTCCATATTTTAATAGAGTAAAGATTAAATATTAGTGAAAGCTCTGCTAAGTGAAGTAAAAAAATAATGTAAAGGCATAATAAATGACTCCCTCTAGGCTTGCAATCATATTGGAAAAGAGACAGGAGAATATGCAAGGCACTTTACGTCTGTGTTTGTGATTAAGGACATGTGGAATGTACATTGAAGATCTCAACATTACATCATATATACTATATATACTTTAATGAGAATTGAAAACATATTAATTTATGTCATACACGCTTACATGCATTGATCTTGAGGCGCTTCGCATGGCTGAATAATATAATATTTGGGATCTTTCTCAAAAAATATTTTATTAAAATAGTTATACAGTATATTGCTGAGGATCTAATTCAGAATAGGTAAATCAGGTTTTTTATCTCGCAAGTGGTACATTTCACAATTATACTAGGCAATCATGTATGCAAATTATATAGCGTAAAAAAACAGAATATAGTTGAGATATTATTTAGTCAAAAGTAATAATCTACATTGCTTAGAATCAGTCAGTCAAAATAGTTAAACAATTGTGATTTCTACTCCATCTTTCAATCTTATTATTGTACCTTTTGGCTGATTAAGATGTTTTGTGAACAATAATAAATTATTTTGTTTCACATACAAAGATGAGATAAATAGTATGTTTGGAGTTGACGAGTGTGGCTCAAAAGCTTGTTGCTTAACCCTTATACATCCAAGATCACTTAAAGGATCAGAACATTCTTAGTTCCAATATTCTTGCATCATGTCCTTAGCTTCAATCAATTCAACGAATCTATACTATCCATAGTGGTATGTCTTGGTTGGTTTTATTTCATTAACTCGAAATGGTTTTCAGCAACAAAAGCAGATTGCCATATTGTTTTTATGGATTTTAGGATGATAATAAGAATGATATAATTCGTCAAATTCGCTTTCACCAAATTCTGCAAATAAGCAGAAACTATAATATATGCTATTTTCATTTAATAATAATAAATATTGGAGAGTACTTTTAACTCGTAATTCCACTGCACTGGAGATTCTCCCTTTCTCATTATTGATAATTTGTCATAGATTTTTTCATTAGCAAGGAATTTTTTGAAATCGATGCCACTCCAGTAATTTCTGAGATATGTTCTATAATATTCCATATCATATCTAGGATGATTACTGACGGGCTTAGGTAACCGCCATTGTTTTTTATCAATAATCATATTAATGTTAATAGCACTTACCAAGGTAACAACCATCATATTTAGAAAATTATATTGATTTTAGCAATTTCACTGTTTTTTACGATTTATAGTGATTTATAGCAGTTTGTAGTAAGTATATTATAATAAAATATCGGATTCATTTTTATTCGATTACAAGTATATTATCAGAGGTTTATATAAGGTTTACATCTAGCTGTGTATATATTCACATACATGTAAGGGATTTTTCAATGGTATAATAGCTAATCAGAGGTGTATGATGTATATCGTATTACAGGAATCAGGTGCTTTGCATGTGGGTAAAAATAATTTATTAAATGCTTTATATGTTTATAATGTTTTTAAAACTACATATAAATTGATTATCAAAGAATCTTTTCACTACTATTCATGACATATATGTTTATAGGCGCAGTAAGCACGTGATAGTCACATTGGCGTCAACTCGAAGGGACGTGATCAGCATTAGAGAAATGTTCTATAATATTATGAATTTGTGTGGAGGTTAGCTTTGAAATGTAATCTGCACTATATGATTTAATTCGCTTGATTTTTGACATTCCTATCCCTCTAATTTCTTCACAAGATGTGGGGTGACGGTTTCATCTAAACAACTTATAGATATTCCTAGCTTTAGTAGTCTTCTTACGCAAACTATCTTTTGTAAAGCCAGGTAAATGTTGTGCAACTTCTTCATATACTCGGGTTCTAGCTTGTTGATCATTAAGCCTGCTATTACTATTCATGATCTCCTTGACTCTTTTTTCAAAGCTTTCTGCGAATCGATACTAGCACAAAATTTCATCTTGGTTGGCCTTCATGATACGTTTTTTCTCGAGACTTACTTTTTATATAATCGCGCCAAATTTTGTGAAATAGATCCCCCACCCTCTTCACTATCATTTTCTTCTTCAGGTTCTCTGATATAGACAATTCTTGCAACAAACCTTGTACCTTGTCCTGTTTGCGAGAAATTTTGGGGAATGATTCCCTTGATGACTGAATTTGTACATTGTTAGTATTGTCCCCAGCTGTTTGATTAGTCAAATTATCTGCAGAATTTTCCACATCTATAGTAAGACTTGTTGTTTGATCATGCGTAATAGTTTTGGTTATTTTTTCCCTTGACCCGCAAGAGAATCATCGTCTATTAATCCTAGGTCAAGCAAAATTTCCAATTCACCTTCTACAGTATTATTACTTAGGGAGTCTTTTTTCCTGAAATCCTTATCCTTAGATACCATGTGATATTCACCAGAAGCTAGTATAAGTTCCTCATTAACAAGTTCGATAGGTGATATACAACTAGGAATAGGGCATAAAGGGGAACGGGTTTCTGATCGTACAATATGTTTTTCAAGACATATTCGATGGTATATATGTCCACATGATAATACTGTGAATGAATGAAGTGGTAAGGGTAAGGCAAGAATTTCTTTATCACAGAAGTGGCAAGGATTAAGTTTCGGGATATGTTCATCAGTTATTTCAGAAGTGTTTCTTAAGAAATTTAACGAAAGTGCTTTAAGTTGAAAAACCTCTGTATCATCCACATGGATTTCTGAAGGACTTGCTGGTATTTCACTAGTCATACTGTTAAATCATAAAGATTTCTCGCCCTTTTACCCCTACATAAATATTTTTCATATATCAAGACTAAAACGAAATTAGCCTTACTCTGAGAATTTATCTCAGAAATGAACGTCTCAGAAATGAGCATCACAGAATGAAGATCACGAATAAATCAGAACCAATGATGAAAAGATATGTCACAAAAAAAAGACTACTATACCCCAGTTAAGGCTACGATCGTCGTAAAACATGAAAGCCTCTAAGATAAATATGGTAATCCCTCTTTCGATCAAAGATCTTTAGGAGAAAAATTTGTATGACTAAAATTTCAGCTGGGGCGCCCCTGTCAAAAAATATTCATAGGAAAAAAGATGCGGAAAATGTTTTATTTTTCTGAGCGATGATCACTGCTCCAGACTGGCTGGCTTAGAAAAATAATCATCTTTTTGCGCAAACTCTAGCTTTCATGCCAATCTATCCAATGTCAATTTAAGACCAATTATATAGACTTCTTATCGACGTTCAGGTACAACCCCTGCTAGAAACACCTTTTTAATATTTTTATTTGCATTTTCTATAATTTCATCTAAACTTTTCATATTGTGCAAATTGATATTAAATCCCATACTTTACTATATAAGCCTATATCTTTAATTAAAAAAATATTATTCCCACTTATTCTATTGAACTGCGGAAGAGGGTATTTGCTATTTAACCCTTCTTTTAGAATCAAATAATAAAATGTTCAGCTATCATCTTTTCTATAACTGAATATTTATTGCATCAGGAAAAATAATATAATAATGTATGCGATCCGACTACTGTGAATTGCCTCTTCTGATTATATATATGCATCATATCACTAGTCTGGATTACTAGCATGAACTAGACTCTGTGATTTCAATTGCAAAAAAGACAGGTTAGGCATACGTTCTCTTTGATATGCCCCAAATTAGTATGAATTCAATCTACTGTCCATTGTAATATGTCTTCTGGTCGATCCCATTTGAATTTCATTTCTATAAGGCATAATGCGCATCTGTCTTCTTGAATATGTTTTAATGTGAGGATATAGTCAACTGTTAGATTAAATTTACGGTCTTTTTCCTTGTCCTAGCCATATATCTGATAAGTTTTTCCTGAATAGACGGTCTCAATTCGTGCTCTAGCCGTCTTTTCTTTTTTGCTTTCTCAATCTCTTGGATAATTTCAGGAGGTAATAGGGGCATTTTAACCTGAATGAGTTGGCTTAAATATTCCACACGACCAACTGCTAAATATATTAGGTTATCCCAGACTAGGTTTTCATCGATGACCCAAACACGCTGTGGAGCCTTGAGGGTCATTTCTTGACTAGTATGAATAGTCATAGCATATCCAAGTTCCTAATCTATGTTTTTTTTATCCGCAACATATCTTTTAAGAATTTATCAGGGAGTGTATTTAAGGGTAAGTTTACTATGTCATTTTTCACTAACTCTTTCTTTTCGGATGAGCCGGAAATTAGAACAAGACAATTTTGTTTACGTCCATCTATTGGCCTATAGATTAATGGGATCAGCATATCAGAATATTTTTCTTGATAAAGTTTTAAGCATCTTTGGGAATCAATTCTTCGGGAAAGTAGATGTGCTAATAAGATACGATCTGATAGCTTCCATTCAGCTTCAAGATATTCCCATTTTTTGTGACTGGAAGTGCTTCACGGAATAGGTCTGACTGCACTCTGTTATTTTGACGTCGCATTTTTTTCTTAAGCTCTTGCAGTCTAAGGCATTTGGTCCGATAATCAGTCAAGACTTTCTCATAATAATCAGCTCGCTCTTTTAACCAGTCATGAGGCATTTCTTCGAAAAATGGTGGAGGTTGAGCGTCATCCCCACAACAGATTATCTGACATTTTTGCTCTAGTAAGTAGTCGATAAACTTCTCTAGAATATGTCTAGGCACTGTACATACTTCATCCCAGATGACAACTCGTGGGAATTTTTTCTCTCATATGTTCAGGAGTCCATTTTCCTACACCATTCCTCCCAAAGAAGCTATGCCAAGTTTGAGCTTTTACCTTACGATCATTCTGGAAGTCTTTAGCCAATGCATTCGTATGAGTAAAGACTATCATGTTTATATCTTTAAAGATTCGGATTGCACGTGTTGTCTTTTTAGAACTACCGCCTCTATTGAGATATGAAACTCGGGATCTTGTAATAGGATCACAAATTGATGGAGTAGTACTCTTGGTAATATTTTTAATCGATTTCCAATGCCTATTTTTTGGCCAGTATACGACATTAGAATCTGGTCCATGAATCTTCTCACCTTTATCACGCCATTGATCAGGCTGAATTTCTTGAATCTTTTCCTCTTTTAGTGGCTCAAACTCTTTGGTAATAACTCTACTGGGTTTGGTATTCTTTTGAGAACCTAAGCGAAAGTACCATTCCCCAAAGCAAACAGCACATACAAATAGCTTATGCTCGTTACATAACAAATAGCCTGTTATTCTATTTACGTAATGAACCTTCACTTCTTTAGCAAATTCTTTGACTGCTTCTTTTGAATAAAAGTCTCCTGCTTCACACATTGCACAAGAAGGAATTTTATGCAGATATTGAAACTTACTGATATCTGCCTCTCCTTTGTGATTAAGAAGGCGTTTAACTTGCTTGAAGAAGGCAGATACATTTTTAATCTTATATAAGGCCTCACTTCGTATATATATAGAATCTGTTGTGATTCTTACCACTTCATTAGGACCAAATCTCCAGAGCATTCCAGCAAGTTTATATGAGCATAAGCTAACATCGAAGCCTGCAAATGTGTATATTGAGGCTGATGACCTTTGTAATATGTAAGTATATGCCCAAGCGGACATTTATTATTACCTGCATATGTCCCTTCCTTAATGCAATCCTGGATCAAGAAATCAAGCTCACCTTCATCTATTACAATCTGGTAAGTAAGGCGCTTTTCTTTAACTTTATTTTCTTGTGTGAATTTTCCTATGATTGTGTAACTTATATCCCAACTTTAGGCAATCATACCTTCATTTGCTTGGTAAGAAAAATAATAGCTTCTCTTATAGTTACACTTTCTAGGATACCTATTTCGAGAAAATATCATAGAAGCACAATAGGTGTCCATCATTTTGTCTTCTAACATCCTTCTCCACTTTAACAAGCAAAATATTTTCCATACCAAACGGGAATTACTGGATGGATATTAGGGACAAATTTGAAAGATCTTACCTACGCAAATCCAGTTATATCATCTTGTGGTAATTTTTCATTCACTGCTACTCGGACAAGATGGTGTGTTGGATGCCCAAACTGCTTAAACCATGGTGAATACTCTCCTTGACCATGCATACTTGCTGGATAGCATTCCTTCATATCTATACATACAACATCTTCGACTTAATAATTAGACGCATTTCAACGTCTTTCATATCCATGTTCAACGTAAAATTGCTTTATATTTTCATGTATACTAGCCGGAGTAGGATACAAATCATTGATCTCGTTAGCAAGTTTACCTCCAGCATGATTAGCACCAAATACCTGTTCTGCTATTTCAACTATTTTAAGTGATTCTAAGGACTTCTGCTTTCTGTTTTCATTAATTATTCCTTCTCGAAATTGCCAGTCTACCACATCCTTAAATAATTCCTTACATACTTTTATAATATCTATATGCTTCATCCATGTTCTAAATGTATGACTATCTTTTAGAACAAATTGGGATATTGACTGGATCTCTTCTAATGTTTCACTTTCCCCAAGTCCATGTTCGATAAGCTATATCACTTGGGGACCTTGAAGAGCTTTATTGATAGCCTTTCATACATTATTGCTATAATACTCTACTATTCGATCTCTTGGAAAATGATGGTTTTTAGGGAATGCATGGCCATTGTGAACTACCATCTCTATCTCTTTAAACCTACCTGTTCGATATTTTCCACTATTAAAAATAGTTCTATGAGTAATATCAAGTAATTTGATTGGCCTCTTAAGTATTTTTTCCAATTCTGCTACATCCTCTACTCGAGCACCAGGTTGACGTATTCTTTTTTCCTATGTGCTAATTTTTTGTTTACGTATACTGGTAAGCCCATACCTTCTTTTTGCTTTTTCAAAATACTCTATTACTCGTTGAGCTACACAGTTAAGTGCACCATCTTTCATTGGCATTAATCGTTTACTATCTGGCTTCCAAATTCGATACAACCTATATACAACTGCATTTGCCTCAAGATCTTCAAAATCAGATATTTTTATTTGAATCTCTCTAACTAAAAATTTCTCATCAATTCCTACCTAGAAGCCTAGCTGTATTTTCTTTGTAAGGATAACATTTGGACCTCCTAGAACGAATTTCTTATCAGCCCTTTTTGATTCTCGAATAGGTTGGTATTTATCAATGATTTTAAATGCATAGTTATGGGAAGAATCGTCTTTAACAAATTTTACTCTTATAAGAAACCTATTATCATCTATTATATCTAAAATCTTCTTAGCATGCTCTTTAGTCATCTCAGCTTCATACATTTCTGCTGACTCAAAATGTTCTTCTATAAATGCTATCCATTTTGGACTTCCTTTGTTTTCTGCTTTGTATTCCCGTATTAATGACTCAATCTTTTCTGAAATCACTTTTTCATTGCTCAAATTCCATTGTAAATATACCTCTTTTACTTTCTTTGCTACTTCTTTTTCACTTTTAGCAGTTAATAATATATTTATAAAGTCCCTTTTCAGAATTCTTGCAAACCAGATTGAAAATGTATATTTAGCATCATCTACTTTAAACATGTCTTTTGCTGTCTGAATTCCCTTCTGCCATACTTTCCGACGTCCTTCATTATCTGGAAATGGAACTGGCCAGGGCACTTTTTTATCTAAGTCCTTGAGATCATCTTCAGATCCATCCTTTTGGTCATTGATCTTAGGAGCTGGGGTCACTTTTCTTCTTTGCTCTTCTCTATGAGCTCGAGTTGCTGGGCCAGGTCTGGCTTCAGGATCTTCTTCTGCTGGTTGAAAAATGTGGACTTTCTTTCACCGTTTACTAGAAGACTTTCTTTCAGCTTGGCGTTCCATTAAATCAAATCATTCTTCATCCATTTTTAGGATCTTTTTATTAATAATGGCTGGGTTATTTTTTATCTCAGGATTCGCAAGCCAGTTAGCCAAATCCTCTATAGATAAATGCATTGCTTGGCCTTTTTTAGATCCTTCTTTTTCATGAATATGGACTACAGAAGATGGAGGATTAGGTGTCAGCGATTGAGGACTGGATATATTAGGGTTAAGTAACTGAACCGAGTTAGGTATTTGGGTTTGCTTGCACTTAAACTTTCTGTTAAGATGATTTGTTAAATCACAAGTCTTTTTAAAATCATACTTTCCACATCGAGGACATTGAAATACCATTTCGATAGTAAGTGAATCAATTTAGTTATTTGTATTAATAGTACGAAAACTTTTGTTCAAATAATAATTAATTATCCCTCTTTCGATCTGTCATAGGAGATAGCCTAACTTGATAGTATATCCTATTAGGTTTTCTTTTTTTTTGAATTTATGAGAAAAAAAAGGTTTGTGGCAAGTCAACTAGCTTTGAACCTGGCCTTTGTAGAAAGCATGCTAATAGTTATTATGTAACCCAGTATATTAATAGGCTTCAGGATAAGGCTAATACTGATGATTTAATTTGGATGAAAATTGATGAATTGCTTTTAGAGTTGTCAGCGGACAAAACCCCCCTTTGAAGCTATCGCTAAGAAAGCCTAGCTTTTTTTTCGAATCTAGTGAGAAAAAAGGCATGCTATTCTGATTTTTTTACACTATAATAGCCTTTTTTTTCACCTAGGGTCTGCCCGCTCTCCCTGCTTAGTCTGCTCAGATGAAAATTTTTTACTTTGCTAGGTGTATTTTTTCAAAAAAGTCTAGCTAGAATGCTTTGAAAATAAGATTGAGACGTATTTTGATAATTATCATTCTTAAACTTCCAGGTAA